TCGTGCGTGTCGAGTGCGCGAAATGCAGGCGAGAGTGCGATTTGTCCGGTGCCTGCGCAGCCCTCTGCGGAGATCGTGCCTTTGTAGTACAACTTTAGTACGCGGAGTATCTGGGGAGCTGGAAGATGAGAACTGGCGACTTTGTAGTACAACTTTATTACGTGGAGTATCTGGGGAGCTGGAAGATGAGAACTGGCGACTTTGTAGTACAACTTTAGTACGCGGAGTAGCTGGGGAGCTGGAAGATGAGAACTGGTGACTTGGTAGTACAACTTTAGTCCGCGGAGTATCTGGGGAGCTGGAAGATGAGAACTGGCGACTTTGTAGTACAACTGTAGTACGTGGAGTACCTGGGGAGCTGGACGATGAGAACTGGTGACTTTGTAGTACAACTTTAGTACGCGGAGTATCTGGGGAGCTGGAAGATGAGAACTGGCGACTTTGTAATACAACTTTAGTAGGCGGAGTATCTGGGGAGCTGGAAGATGAGAACTGGCGACTTTGTAGTGCAATTATAGTACGCGGAGTACCTGGGGAGCTGGAAGATGAGAACTGGTGACTTTGTAGTACAACTTTAGTACGCGGAGTATCTGGGAAGCTGGAAGATGAGAACTGGCGACTTGGTAGTACAACTTGAGTACGCGGAGTATCTGGGGAGCTGGAAGATGAGAACTGGCGACTTGGTAGTACCACTCTAGTACGCGGAGTATCTGGGGAGGTGGAAGATGAGAATTGGCGACTTGGTGGTACAACTCTAGTATGCGGAGGTAACTTGCGAGAGGTCAAGAACTTGCAGAAAAAAGGTGTTCCTGCGCTTCAGAAAGACATACAGAGAGAGACACATACACACACAGACATAGATACACACACACACAGAGACCCACACACTGCCTCAACACACTCGACTTAACACTTCACACTGAACACTTAACACATAACTCACACTCTAACTTCACACGTGATGAAAAATGTTAATTAAACAGCAGCAGTTATTTGATTGTATGCTTGTACTGCGTGAGGAGCGCCAACAGGAACTCAAAGACCTGAAAGACCAGCTGGAGAAGCAGGTGAGTAGCGGCTGTAGCTTGAGCGAATGCCGAACGAGAGTGCGTAGCGAATGGGTCACACATAAGCAGCGAAACGAAACCTAGACAATCTCATACCCTCCTGTCATCCCGTTTGCTCACAGGCTCAGCTCGCCACAGACGGCGCAGAGAAGGAGAAGGCACAAGCCCCACGTTGAACGCTAGGTGAATGGTTTTCTATCAGTACATCCAACATGTTTGCACCCTAACTTTGCAACATCTTAACTTGCTATTGATCTGACAGGATAAGACCGAGGGTTTGGACAAGGAAGATGCTGTGCCAAGCCTAGAAGACACTACAAGTCGACATGTTTGGACTCTCTTACGGACGTGTTTGGCCGTTCATACGTATGCCCTGGTTTTTTGGCAAGTTTGGGTTGTTGTTGCACTCAGATGGCCGAAGCTGCATATCAGAAGCTCGAGGCGGAGGTCAAAGAACAGCTTGGGTGCGTCCTCCTAGCATTCTGGTGCAGTCATACAGAAGGTTTGCCAGGTTTGCCAATTCATAAAGTCCTAGTAAGAGAAGGGGTGCAATCAGAAATGTGGCGAAGCCAGCAGATCTCGCTATTCCCATTCACTCTATTCAAAGCAAGAGCCACTACATCATGGAAGGAGGCACTAGAAGCAGCTGTGGTATTGTGAGAGAGAGAGAGAGGGGGGGAGTGAGGATTTGAATGGATTTGACTTGAGTGGAGAAGCCTTTTGAAACGATGCCCAGGTGATCTGAGGCACCCTTCCGTGGCTGAGGGCCTCATTTGGACCAGAACATAAAAATTTCTTAGGTTTCAAACATATCAATGACATGTCATGCCAAGCTAATGTAGGCTCACGCTTATTTTGTCTAAGCAAATCTGACTTTATTTTTCTCGCAACGCCTGGTCCTCGCCGTGCGTGATTCGAGTGCAAACTTGCATATACTAGTTTTGTCAAAGTAGTGTCAAAAGATGTTTTTGTTTGTTCTGGTTGCAGTTCGTTCGTGTTCGTGGGCATGCCCGCAGCAAGTAGAATATCTCCAACGTTTCACTGGCAGCACAAGAGGAATTCAAGGCCAGGCCCGGGAGGCTGATCCGAGGCTGTTTGTGATGAGGTTCAACCCCTTACTACTGTGCCTCGATCAGTCTCTCGCAGCGCTTGCGTCAGTCTCACGCGGACGTGCGAAATGCCACGTGACCGAGTTGCAGAGCGAGCGGTTTCACTGGCGGCAGGAAACACATGCATTTGTTTGCTCGTGGGCTTGTTTGTTCAACTTGTTGAACTCAACTTGTCGTTTCTGCATGCGCTTTTGTGGATCAGGCCTTTGCATTATAGACAAGACTAATGCACGATTCTCAGATCACAACAGCATCATGGGGCCAGGCGGCCAGGCCTGGCACAAAAGCACCGTTTGTATTGGCGCAGACGATTCGGAGAGGGCAATGAGTGTTCTTCAACATGGAGGCCTGACGGACATGAGTCTTAGCAGGTTTTTTATTGTTTATGCCTTGCAAGCAGTGCCAGCGATAGTGCAGGAAGACCACTACCTGGTCACGCGGCTTGGGACCTCGCAAAATCAAGCTGTGTGATGCGGTGTGTAGGATGATGATTATTCATATGTCGGTGAAGGCTTTGATCTACATCAGGTGTTTTGCAGTTGCTTGGAACATGCTTCGTCATAGTATAGAAATTCGCATAGTGCGTCTATGCATGTCTCCCCAAGAGGACTTTGTCAGCCTAAACAAAAACCCTCAGCTGCAAGAGCTTGCTTGTGATTAGGTGAAGGTCTAGAACTCTCAGATGAGACGAGAAGGTTCCTCGTCCTTTGTCAGATCCGTTTGCACGCCTTCGGGAAGCAAGCAAACATGGGCTCGGCACTAGCACTTGCTTAAGTGTGTGACTTCATATCCATGTACTTCAAACATAATCGAAAGCAAACACATTTTTTAGATATTATTACGAAAGCCAGCCAGCCGATAGGCTAGGCTTGAGCTCTTAGACTGAACGAAGTGAGTAAAGAGGCTGGGGGGAGGGTGGGCCGCGAAAAGGCGCCATTCGGAGCTTGCCTGGAGAGAGCGCTCCAAAGCGAGGGTCAGAAAAGCAGTGAAAATGGTGTCTGGTGATGCGAGTGATGCAATGGACGCCGAGTAGTGCATCATTAGCATCACGAAGGGCTGTGGAGGCTACTTGGACAATGGGCATTGCCATGTACAGAGCAACCATCCTAGTCTCTACTATACCTGCACCGTCGAGCGGATGCTTCTTTCGGCGTTGACGTGCACCGAACGTTGTTCCGCCTTGGCCGCACAGCTAGATAGTACAGAATAGATACATAGAATAGATAGATCGATCGATAGATAGATAGATAGCACGTCAGCGTGCACGCAAAGGTATGAGGCTAGTTGGGTACGAACCTAAAGCATGCACACCAAAACCTTGGACATCCTGCACCCCATCGCTTGAGTCAAGCTCTCAAGGTTATAGTCACGGATCTATGCAATATTTTTGGATGACGGTTGGTGACGCCAATGCTGAGGCATATAGTTCCTGCCCTCCTTCTAGTCATCCTTTCAGAGAAGTCTGGTTGGATGTATTGGTGCTAGTATGGTAGTTGGTTGGCAGCGACAAGTTGCTATCAGAAAAGGACCCCGTGTAGATAGCAACTTCTCTGTGTTTTCTGACTCTATGTCTCTATGGTTCTGTGTCTCTATGTCTCTGGGAAGAGAGGTGTAGCCGCTTATGGTTATATTTTGGGCATAAGCGCAAGTAAAGTCCCCAACAGCACGAAGCGCCACTGAGAAAGTCTCTTCGCTGTCCAAGCCCTCCTCTCCACCCTTGTCTGCTTTGGAATCTGCTCCGGAACCTTCTCCAGAACCTCCTCATGGACCTGCCCCGCAACCTTCTCCCGAACCTTCTCTGGAACCTGCCCCGGAATCTTCTCCGGAACCTGCCCCGGAACCGTTTGCCGCACCTCCTCCGGATCCGCTGCGGAACCTCGTCCGGAACCTGCTCCGAAGCTCGCTCTGAGTCTGCTCCGAAGTCTTTCCTATGGCAGAAGACCCCTACGCTTCGCTGTTGGGGAATGATGATTGCTTCAAAATGGAGCTGCTTGGATGTAATGGGGCCAGTATGGTAGTTGGTTGGCAGCGACGAGTGCCTATCAGAAAAGGGGCCCGTGTAGATACCAACTTGGTGGGGTGAAGAGATTGCTGTTTGAGGATGGGTTATAGTCACAGTCACGGATCTATGCAATATTTTTGGATGACGGTTGGTGACGCCAATGCTGAGGCATATAGTTCCTGCCATCCTCCTAGTCATCCTTTCAGAGAAGTCTGCTTGGATGTCTTGGGGCAAGTATGCTAGATGGTTGGCAGCGACAAGTTGCTCTCAGAAACGGCGCCCGTGTAGATAGCAACTTCTGTGTCTTTTATGTCTCTGTGTTTTATGACTCTATGTCTCTATGGTTCTGTGTCTCTATGTCTCTGGGACGAGAGGTGTAGCCGCGACTTTTGGTTATATGTTGGGCGGATCAGTGGCGTAAGACCAAGTAAAGTCCCCAACAGCACTGACGTTTCTTTTTTCCCGGATTCTCAAATAGACCACCAAAAAGGGACGCTCTAGAGAGCACCGCGCCAGGAAAATCGAGACAGCCTAAAACATTCAACACTTCATGCTGAGCTCCGATCTTGATCTACTCCATGTTGATACAAGCTCCACGAAAGCTACAGGCATTCAACAAAAAGTGCTCCGTTATTTTTTCTTCCCAGTCTTGCATTACCATATTGGTCTCTCGCTGGCTTTCGTCCTCTCCTTTCTCAGGTGTTGTTTTGTTTATTTTTTAAATCTCATTGATGACCTAAGGCTTTTGCCGGTGGCAACATGCCTGCCAGCTGCTTGATGCCACAGGTGTAGCTGCAGTACAGATTGTGTGCCTTCCCATCCTCAAGAGATTTACTGTATGTCCGGATATCATCGGAGCTTCCATTGCCATAGTTGTGTCTTCGGTTGCTCAAATTTAACATCTCAAGAGTCAGTGTTGCAGATAGCGCGTCGGGCAATGTGAACGAACTATTCAAGCTTGCAAGTTTCATCACCAGGTTTTTCATTTGGGATTGCGGAGACGTACAGTCTTGCTTTTTGCGGTAAACGACTAGAAGAACACCTGGTGACCTTGCGCGCATCATGCAAGGAACATCAGAGAACAACTTTGTTTGACAGCCTCAAACAGAGACTTTCTTTAGGTGATGCCTCACTGGAGCTGGATGTATCATGCTTCAATTCCATGGCTTGGTGCTCAGTCCTGCTGCTTGCGCTTCCAACCGCCTTCCCTTCAGCCCAAGGCTAAATCAAGCATTTTGATAGAGAGACGCGAGAGAGGTGTTCTGCCTCAAGCCATAGGTTAAATCAGCAGCCGGTGAGAGGCTTTGGCAACTGGCGCTAGCTTTGCGGCGCTTGAGCTCAAGAATGGTTTGCAAGAGGAATTTGATAGTCTTTGAATTGTGTAGTAAATGTAGACCCAGATGGTTCTTTTGCACTTGCTGGTTGAAAGTTGGCGCTTGCAAGAAGCGCATTGTTGTTTGAGGCAAGAGATGCTTAACCGAAGTGTGAGGCCAGTCGACGAAACTCATGTTTGTACACGTTTGTACTAAAGCAGCAAAGGAAAAAAGCATCGGAGGCCACCTACCATCAGAAGGGTTCCACGTGCTACAGGTGAGTTTCTTCAAGTTCCACTGATTCGAGTGTTTTCCCAGATAGCGAAGCTATGGGGCTCTTACTTCAAATAACAAGGAGTTGCCCGTGAACGCTTTCGAGACAGATTGCTGGCGCCGGCGCTGGTGCGGCGCCGGTGCTGGGTGCCGCCGGTGCTGGCGCTGGTGCTGTGAGCTGGCTGCGCACGTGGTGGAAACAGGGCGCTGGCGCCGGTGCTGGTGCTGGGCGCCGGGTGCTGGTGGTGCTGTGAGCTGGCTGCGCACGTGGTGGAGACAGGTTGCTCGCGCCGGTGCTGGTGCTGGGTGCCGGGTGCCGATGGTGCTGGTGCTGTGAGCTGGCTATGCACGTGGTGGAGACAGGTGGCTGGTGCTGTGAGACGGGTTGCTGGTGCCGGCGCTGGTGCTAGGTCCGCCGAACTGGTGCTGTGAGCTGGCTGTGCACGTGGTGGAGACAGGTTGCTGGCGCCTGTGCTGGGTGCCGGTGCTGGTGCTGGTGCTGTGAGCTGGCTGCGCGCTTGGTGGAGACAGGTTGCTGGCGCCGGTGCTGGTGCTGGGCGCCCGGCGCCGGTGCTGGTGCTGGTGCTGTGACTGGCTGTGCGCGTGGTGGGGACAGGTTGCTGGTGCTGGCGCTGGGTGCCCACCACCTGCGCAGCCACAGCACCGGCGCCGGCACCCTGTCCAGACCAGCGCCCTCCAGCCAGCTCACAGCGCCAGCACCGGCGCCCAGCACCCAGCACCCAGCACCAGCATGTCTCCACAGCCAGCTCACAGCGCCAGCACCGGCATCCGGCACCGCTGGTGCTGGGTGGCTGGCTGTGCACGTAATGGAGACAGGGCGCTGGGTGCTGGGCGCCGCTGGGTGCTGGGCGCTGGCGCTGGGTGCCGTGAGCTGGCGCGCCGGTGCTCGGCGCTGGCGCCCGCTCCTGACAGTGAAGTGAAAACAACCGCCGCTTCTGACAGTGAAGTGCCAGCAGTCATGGGGCCGCATGAACTTATGCACGCAACATCATACGGTGTTGTCGCTTGAGTGTTCTTTGTCTATTAATTAGCGCTGTGGTGTATTTGCACTCTTCAGATTCCGTTTTGGCCGACAGCTGTGTCAAGGGCTGTACTGTTTGCCCGCATACTTTTGCACGTATAATGTTCCATGCGCAACGTCAGGCTCTCAAACGGCCATTGTTTCAGCATGTTGCAGCGCACTACACACACAATAGTCGTACTGGATACTGCTTGGCCTTGGGCGAGTGAAGCCTACGGGCTTTGCCGTTTGTGCGCGTACTTTTGTGTGCCTAATAAACTTATACGCGCAAGATCATACGGCCTTATCGTTCTACAGATCGTTGCTTCAAGCATGCTACAAAGGCAACAGTGGCGCTGGATACTGCTTGGCCTTGGGCCAATGACACTTACGGGCTTTGCTGTTTGCGCGCGTACTTTTGTGCGCGTAAACTTATACACGCAAGATCACACTAGGGATAGCTATGGTGTTCTTACTGCAAATAAGAATGAGCTGGCTGCGCGCGCTTTCGAAGGGGTGTCGGTGCTGGTGCTGGTGTTGTGGTCCTGGGTGCTGGTGGCTGAGCGCGGGTTTAAGACGGGCGGCGGCGCTGGTCGGGCGCTGGTGCCGCCGCCGGTGTTGTCAGCTGGTTGTGCGCGCTGTGGAGGCGCCGTAAGCTGGCTGTGCAGGCTGCGTACATTCTTGTTCCAGCCAGTCGCATGTCAACCAGTCGTGGGATTCTGCCTAGCTATCTGGGTCTATGCTGGTGTAATTCAAGCAACGAACAGGGCAAATCAATTCACAACATAAAGGGATCCTTGCCTTGGACTGCTTGATCAGAGCTCATTGTATGCCAGATAGCCACGGCAGAGTCAACTGCCAATCGTATTAGCCGCAGCACATCAGGCCAAATGCGGCTATCTATACCTCTTCACTCAAGGCCTTGAGAGGAGCACATGGTTCGGCTGGGCACCTAGCTGAACCTGCTTTTTCACTTGCTCATTTGCAGCGGTGTGAGCAGAACTGCATAGCTTTGGCCCCAGCACACTTCAGTTCAAGACCAGCCGCCCCAGAGTAGAGCATGTCGTGGGAGTTGGAGGTCCAAAGCCTAACAAATGCCGTGACTTTGCCAGTCAACACTAGAATGACATGCCAAGAGCTGCGCCAAGCCATTCAAGAACACCTTGGCATAGATGCTCAACGTCAGGTTTGGCACACGAGTGGAAAGCGTCTCAAATTTGCAGATTCTCAAAGCTTGGAGGTTCTAGAAGGGACTTCCCAAATGACGGTGATTCTCTGTGAACCTCTAAAGCCTCTACCCGAGCGGTTTGAACTTCGATTGACATCTGCCCGAGAGCGCTTCAAGACGGGATATTCCAGTGCATTTGTGATCCAGTATCGGCTTCGAGCAGATGCAGAAAAGGGCCTGATGGTGTTCGAACCATGGAGGAAGAACGATCATGATGTCACGACTTACGACTCCCAGGACAATTTGTTTTCAGTTTATGAAACAAGCCTTACCAAAGATGTCATGTCACAGTTAGCCGTCGATCGTTCGTTGAATATACTTTGTCCACAGCTTTCTGCTCCTCCAGGAGAAGACCGTGAAAGTTGAAAAGAGCCATTGGATGGCTGGCACCACTGTGACGACCGAGGATATGAAGGTGGACATGCTTGCCGAGCTAGTGTCCAGGTGGCATGGCGACTACTTGGATCCAGGTGAGACCCCTTTCTGGAAGGCGCCTTCAGACGCTCCAGTTGTGGATGAAAAAGGCCGAAAGTTTAGCACTAACAGCACCCCGCAGACATGCCCTGACTACACAGCAGTGCCTGGCTGGTTCGTGGCACCAGATGAAGAGTGTCAGGAGATTGAGACCGACCTTGAAATCGATGGCAAGCATTTGTCTCGCATGTTGGTGAAGGATGGTGAGCTGTTACGTGTGGCCATGTCTCGATGCCGTATCGGTGCACTTCATGAAGACATTGAGGAATATGATGTCGAAATTCGGGAACTTCCATCGGATCAAAAACTTCACAGCGATGACTGGTGATGCCTTCGAGGCCATGATCGAATGATCGAGCGCCGTTGTACAGATGAGTGCGCCAAGCATGAAAAAGCAATTGTTGTCCTTTGTTGCTTGCAGACAATAGCAGCAAGTGTTGTTTTGATATTATGTGCGCCATAAAAAGCTGAGCCGGACATGCGGACATTTCTCTGAAGATATATCAGCAACAACTCCTTCATCCGAATGCCACAATGCAAAATGCAGAATCAAACTCAAACTAATAACCAAGACACGTATAGAACATTATAGAGTCAAGATCAAGGACGTCGGACATCACACTCTTCCACACATATGCCAGTTGCTTCTTCGGCTGACTCTGGTGGGGCTTCTGGAGATGTATACAGTAATACGCCTTTGACATGTTTGGTTTGTCTGGTTGTGATTGATTACCTACCATCGGCAAGCTTTCCATACTGCACAGTCACAGCAGAGAAGTGCCTTCCAACCTAATAGCAATGGCCTCCAACCAATTTGGTGCTAGTTGATTGAGGTCAGTCGTTGCAGGGATCTCATCGGAGACATGCTCTCAAGGTCTTGGGCTCAGCGGAACAAAGGAGGGTGTCCCCACAGGAAACATGCCAAAGACAACTTGTTTGCCTGGACTGCTACTTTCTGACTGGTCATCAGGAGGTTGATGCCTACCACTGTTGTGCGCGCCTCAGCCATCCCGACAGCCCTCACGTGTGAGAGTATCCATGCTGGGGCAAATTTCATGGAGAAGTAATCTCATTTTGACATTCCCATGGCATGTTTCCGCGGAAGACACCGTCTTTGAATTCGGCCTTTTGTTGAGGTTCTAAATGCCGCCATTGGCGTTGCAAGCGCGCCACCCTTGGCAGAATCTTCAATAAGTTAATCGTCACAAGCCTCAATGTTTCTTACTATTCTGCCCATTGTACTTGTGCAAGCACAAGCATCGGGACTACGAACGAAACTTTGTGATACCAAAATATGGTGAGAAGAAACCCACTGTTAAAAGAACACATCTTTTAAACAAGTGCCACGCTAGTAGTAACAGGTGCCTTACTAGTAGTAACAAAAAGCTACTAGGAACAAGTGCCTCGCTAGTAGTAACAGGTGCCTTACTAGTAAGATAAAACACATAATTCTTGTTCTCGCCTTTTTGAGTTCTTGCCGCTGAGGCCCTTTCCGCCTGGGAAGAGGCCTTGTCCTACAATTCATTGGCGAAGGCTTGTGTGGCTGCGTGGTCGTCAAAGTGTCAAGTAGTCTTGAAAGTCATGCTGTAAATCTATGTAAATCCTAGATTTGTTCCTATTAGCTATGCCACCCCAGGATTGGCACACCCTGTAAAGGGTCAAACCAAGTTTTCTTCAGCAGAGATCTTCTGGAGTTTGGAAGTCCTTTGCTTTTGACTTGTACTTGAATTCCTCTCGATATCCGTCGGATTATATAGATGAGAATGGTTCTATAGAGAATGCGTACAAAAAGGCCATGGTCGATGTGCTTCAATCCAGAAACTAAGAGGTGTATTTGAGCCTCAGGCAACTATACAAGAAAGGAACAAATTGTTTTGTTTTTGGGTGGGTTGGTTGCAGCACGGAAATTACACTATTGTTATATAACCGAAGTCACTTGCCACTCTGTCTAAATGCCTAGACACTATGGCAAACTGGCTGGAGCACTTGAGGTGGCATCCAAAACTGTGTGCGGGTTCATATGACCATCATTACAGCGGCGGCAGGAGTTTTCTCTGGAACCTGACCTCTTCACGCTTAGCAACGATCTCAGGTTCGCGGCAGTTTCGATACCTGACTCTAGACCACATAGATCATAGAGCATTCCCTTTAAAGGGATTTAAAGGTTCCTTGCAAGTTTGCAATTTTGACTTGTGAGTTGAGAGGTGCAGATTGCAGTGAAGATGGGTATTGGCTGTTTAGCCAACCACATCTACCTTTTTTCCACATCCCAGTGTCTTTGTAGTTGGACCACGATGTGTAACGCGCTGTCGGACAAGTGCCTTTTTGGGCTTTTTGCTGACGAACCACGCTGTTTGAACTTTTTGCGTCGATGTTCTGGATGATGTGATGAGCGGGTGCATGAGTTCAAGGAGGGACGGCAGGTTGCCGGGGAGTGGGGTCAGGATGACAACTGATGAACTGAACCTCAAGTCTCAAGCTGTGCACCTCCGAACAAAGCGCCACTGATAGCGTTATTGCACGGCCGCCGTGCGTTTTCCGCGACCGAGTTGGGTGCTTGAGTATATATGTTAGCATGGAAACTTGGTACACTTCTCGATTCAAAGTGAAGAGCGTTCAACGCTCCCCCTTTTTCGATCTACTTGGGACCGAAAACATTTGAATATTTGAGCTCTCTTTCGACTCAAGCTGCTTCTCTTCTTTTCTTTCCATCAACTCATTGTTTTTTCTTTCCATTCTTTCTTTCTGTCTTTCTTTCGTTCTTTCTTTCTTTCTTTCACTACTCCACATGTTCATCTTTCGAGAGCGACTTCAACTGATGAACTTCAGGCTTGAGAAGCAGACTGCCTCCGAAGATGGTGAGTGTCGTCGCTGCTCCCCCTAACGGCCTTTGATTGCACGTCGTCTCTGACCAACCAAGCTCCTTCTTCAGCTGTTCCCACTCCGACATTTTCTATATATATATATAGAAGGATACAACTTCAGGCTTGTACTCCTTCGGAGAAGCCGGCTGCTCCACCGAGAACGGAAGCTTTTCTTTCACTTCTCGAGCTGTCTGGAGGTGGTTGATTCTCTTCCTTGAACTTGGTCCTTCAACCTCTTGTTCGCCGTGAGCAGGAATTGAAGATGTCTTGACAGTTCCTTTCTCTCCCACTTCTCATAGATCCTTTTTTTCCGTCCTTCTTTGCACCTGCAGCATCCTAGTCTCTTCCTCTCCTCTCTCTTCACCTCCTTTTCTCACTTCTTCGTACTCTAAGAAGACCGGACGACGAAGCACCAGTGCTGGTGTCGGTTCTGGTGTTGCTGCTACATCTGGTACAACCCTTCTAGCTGCTCATGGTGGAGTGGATATGGAGTGAACCATCAACGAACTCTCTTGTCCTTGTCCCTCCATTCCTTTCTCACCCTCTTCGTTCGCTTCCCGGCCTCCATTGGCTTGGATCTTCTCTTTTTCTTCACTTCCTTTTGGCTTCTCGCCCTGTGATGGACCCTTTTCGGCCGTCCTGATGGGCGTGTCGGCTCAGCAGTCCTCTGATCGGAAGCGCTCTGTGCCTTGGTTCGGCTGTCTCCTGTCGGCAAGGCGGTCGACGGGTTGGGATGACTTTCCTTTCTTCTCACCTTTCTCCCCCTGTTCGTCTTGAACCTCACTATCCCCCTTGACATCCTCTAAAGGGAGTTCACCCCTTTCTTGGCTTCTTCACTCATCCGCTTTTGTGCAGCTTCAATCTCCTGCTGCCCTTGGCGGAGCTCTTCTTGGGTGGCTTTAGGCCTTCGATGCTGCAGCGTTGTCATCGCTGCCGCACCTCAAGACTCAGCAGTGTCGAGCTGGCCTTGGGCTCACCACCTGATGCAGGGCCCCCGTTCATTTTCCACGACTTCGGTCCGTGAGTATGTCAAAGCAGCTACAGCATGGAAACTTGGTACACTTCTCGATTCAAAGTGAAGAGCGTTCAACAAGAACATTCCTGCTTTCAATAGCTACAGAGGTGATGTAGTTCTGGATGATGCGACGAATGCGTGCACGAGGTCAAAGAGGCACGGGTGGTTCGGGGGGAGGTGGGTCTTCCAGTGGACACTCAATTGGATTGTAAAGAACACTGCAGTTCCAACATGCAGAATGATCACAGTTCTCCAACCAACATGATCACACTCTACTAGAGGTTCTTACGGTAATGGCTTTGGCTGGGTGTGATCGAGGGCGCTCACTGCCGGCGGCGGCTAGTTCACTGCTATTTATGGTCGAGATCTGCGAAGCTGGTCTGCAGCACGTCTTCGGACTTGGTGGTCACTTTTCGTGGCAGGCGTCAGGAAATTCGCATTTTGGTCTGAAGTCGACGTGGCAGGTGACGTGGCAATGGTCTCATGGTCTCATTGTTTGTACTCAGATCCGTGAGACCCCTCAAAGACCTCATATGTGTGCTCTCGCCCGTGCGCTCCAAACAATATATATTGTAGCGACGGCCAAATAGATAGACACCACCGAAGACACCAAGTAAAGTATATGCAAATATGGAGTGTAAAGCTGTCATCAAAGAAGCTCAATTTTGCCAAGAAAATTACGCTACTTGGACCTTTGTTTTTCCAGAAAGGGTCGTCAAAGATCAATCTTTGATATGTCGTTGCAAAAACTGCAGAGAAACCAAAGATGGGGTCGCATGGAAAAACAGACTAAGCAGCATCGAGTTGAGAACCGTGTTATTTTTCCATGTTTTTCCCTTAAACACATCATATCCTTGCCCACTGCCCTGCTGAATCCCTTATAGTTTTTGTTGAACTAATATCGTGCTTCAATGGGTGTTCAGCTGAAATTCTGCTAAAAACCTTCAAGAAGTCGATTGTCAATTGAAGCCGTTCGATTTTAGCATTTGACTTCTTCAAAGAAGACATGCCAATGAACATTTTACATGGAATGGACAACTTACTTTTTTGGGGACACATGAAAGAAAAAACAAAACGAAGGGATAGCTAGATTTAGGTTGAAGATGCAAACTACATGGAAAGCTAAGGTGGTAAATTGAAAGGAACACTCTTTCTTAAATAACGACATTGAAAGGACGCCTCTATTCTCGAAACCGCCGCCTGACAAAGGAAAATCCAAAGGACAACTGGTTTTTGATAGGAAAATTGACAGTTGATCGGAAAGCTAATGATTAGATTCTTTTGAAGGGACAATCTGCATAGATTCCACAGATAGAAACGCACATCTAACAACATGATTTTAAGAGGGAAGATAATGTATATGTATTTAAACTATACTTGCTCTCTTTGTCCACTTGTCTCCTCTATAAGTGGCCTGATTGTCACTCGGGCAAGCAGATGGCCAAAGTGTCTTCTCTTTCAACGACACTTTTGCCACCTTCTGCTCATTCGCATCGCCATTGTCCAGCATAAAACCAGGCATTGTTGGCCTGTGTGGCCGTTGAAGACCCACCGAGTGCTACACGAACTACAGTCAAACTCCTGTTTCGCTTGCAATCTCTTCGACAGTTTACAGTGTACAGGCTCTGCGCAATGCATGCATTCCATCCTCTTCGTCCGTGGAAGAGTTTCACAGCACTCGCCAAACGAATGAATTGGCCGAGATAATGTTCTTTGATGAACAGCGCAAAGACGCAAAGACGTGGACCTAGCTTGATGTGACTCAGGCTCCAGCATGAGTGCTTGCACGCGTGGCTCAGCATGGAGAGCTGCCATTCAGCCAGGACCTTGAGTTTCTGCAGGTCTTGAATGCTTGGTTTGGCACTGAACTGAATGAGGCTTTTTCAGCAGTCTGATCTGGCTTCGAACACGGCAGAGCTTGCATGTACTGTACGAGAATGCCTTGCCAACAAGCCAGACATTACTTGATTGGTTTCAAACAAGTGCGAACCTTGTTGTTTGTGCCAGGTTACCGACAATGCCGCGATAAGTGCATTTGCCGCCGGCGGAGACTGGCAGGTGGATCAAAACAGACCCTTGTGGTGTCGCATTGGTGTTCCTTGGTATGGACCAAAATGGATCGATATCATTTTTGCAGGGTGCCCTGGCGATGCTAAGCCATATGGATGATGCAGACGACATCTCGTGCCCATTGCGCGTTGGCTGTTGTTTGGCGCCTGTTTGCAGAGCTCAAAATTGTCATTTTTTAGATATGTTCAGCAGGTATGTGGCAGCTATCAGCCAAGCCCTTTGAGGTAATTCTTGTAATGACATTGGAATACACGGCATCATGTGAGCCATTATGAAAACCAAAGATCTGGAATTTGCACCTACTATGCTTTAGTATACTTTAGTCACGTTAGTCATTCTTTTTTTTGTGCGGTCATTGTTGTTCATTGTTCATGATGAGAAGTCGGGCGAACATCGCCTTTTGTGTGTCCAAATATAATTCTGTTGGCCATGTCACGCCCAGCAACTCCTTACTACTGTACTTTGTCGTTGCTCGATAGAGCAAGGTGCTTGTCGCAGTGAACGAAACTGGCAATTGGCTCTACAGCTTTTGCGGAGATGTCCAGGCCACCCAAGCTCACTGAATTCATTCAGGGAGCTTTTCTTCTAGATACATTCTGAAAAGATGCTCCCACCCTTTTCCTTTCCCCGTGTGCCACTTACGAGGCAATGTGGTTGCCTGCAGCGCTGCCATTGCAGTTCTGGAGGAGACCGAAAGAAGCTCACTGGAACAATTGAATATAATATTATATACATATATACATATAGTATTTGGACTCTACCCACTGTTGAGGGTGTTGTGAGTCAGGCAGATGGGCGTTGGCGAGATGCCTTGGCATTGCTGGAGAAGATGCAGAGGAGTGGTTGATAAGTATATTGTGTTGGTTAACCAATCGAGTATGTGCTGTAAGAAGCGGCTTAGCTCGGGAGCACATGAACGAAGCCAATCCTGCCCAATAATTTACCACATCCCCTGTCAGCACAGGACCGGTCCAGCGCCGAATGTGGTCACCTACAACTCGCTGATCAGCGCCTGTGGCAAGGCCGGCTCGCCAGATGACTGGGCCAAGTAGAAGTGGAGTGGGTTGGAGTTCGACTACCACGTTACTAACCGGTTACTACCCCAATGGAAGCCAAAAGAAAGGGGTGAACGTCTAAAGGTCTTATAGACATTGAAAGGAAAAGAAATTATATCCAAAAACCTTGCTCTTCTGTCCCTTAAACAGACTCCTGAAGAGCTTTCCTGGAAGTGCTTGCTTGGTCCAGACAAGTGACCCATCACTTTGCCCCCAGTGCCAGCGCCCATAGAGGGTTCAAAAGTATTTGTGTATTTGGTGCATTTGCGTGTTATTGTTAGAAAAAAGGAGCGGCCTCATACTGTCTTCGCGCGTGTTGATGCTTACCTCGTCCAACCCACAGGGACAGCAATGGCTCCATGCTATTCATCTTTTGGCTGAAGCGCGGCAGGCCAAGCTTCGGCGCTGAGCTTGGAGCATTGAAAGTCATTAGAACAAAAGGAAGCCACAGATTCTTGATCGTCTTATATATATATATATAATCTTACTACTAGGAACAAGAAGCTACTAGGTGGAGGCCATCGCTATTAGGTTGGAGGCCATCGCTACTAGGAACAAGAAGCTACGAGCAGCAATCTAGGCTGTGGCCACGCACGGGCCGTGCTGTCGGCCCTCTGGCAACCCGCTTATGTTGTCAAACAACAGGGCGCCGGTGCGGTCTAAGGCCAGGTATCGTTGCTCTTAACTCAGCCACCACTGCTTGCGAGAAAGGCTCTGGGGCCGCGGGTGCAGCTTTGTTTCTGCCCCGCAGCTTCTCTTTGTTGCGCTGCCTTTGTTGCCGGTGTGCAGGCCGCCAATGGCAACATGCAGAGCAACTGCTCAGGAATGGAGAGGCTGCAGAACACGCAACAAAACGTGGCATGATCAGTTGAAGTCAACTCACGGTGCAGGAAAGAGTCAGAGTAGACATCAGAAGCAGGTGTTGTTGAAAACGGTGCCAGAATATGATTGGAACGGCAGTCCGCGACCCCACCCAGGCAGCAGGCCTCAAGCTTGACATTATTGGTTTCTCTGCAGCCACAAGTGCATGTGAGAAAGGGTGGCAGCGACACTCAGTGGGCCCAGTGTGCTCGAAAAGGGGTAGAGAATGGTGGAGTGATGCTATTGTCCTAGCGGAGTTCTAGGTATAAAAATCTAGTTTCCGCAACGCTGAAGCTGCTAAGGGAGTGGAACCGAGCAGTGGGGCTGCTCCAAGAAATTCGCCAACGGCAGCTGCTAGAGGTCAGGAGAGTCAAGCAGGTTTAAATGGTTGGTGCAAAATGTGTGTGAGTGTGTGATTGTGGGTGGGTTTGGCTGTATATACATGCCTTTAGTATGCGCCGGCTACCATACCACTGATTGCCTGCTATATGCAGAACAGATGACAACCGCTGCAGGTTGTTTCCTGCAACGCTGCACTGAGTGCTCTGGCCTCAAAGAGGCCCCCTTCAAACACAGAGGGATTTGAACCTACCATTAAAAAAGGAACCATCACAACACCTTGATATTTGCCATGTCACACCATACTCCTCTGAGTATGGAAGTGTCCTGCTTGAGCAGGGTCGGACCCCCTTCTTTTTTCATCGTATGGCATGGGATCTCATAGTGAACAAAAGTGGCTAATAACGCTTGGGCACTGCCGAATACGTTGACAGGTTGAGAATTCGGACTGATGGAAATGTTCTAAGGCATGTGGGCAGTGCAGCCAGACCAGAGCTGCCTTGGCAATCTTTCGTTCCATGCGCAAGGACAGCCGAGAAGTGTGTGTGTGTGTGTAACCCTTGGAATCATAGGGATCCTTTTGGATTTGTTAGGTTTGCCTTTTGCCTTTTAGTTTTTGTCAAAGCAGGGGGGCAGTGAATCTCATTCCATCCACTGCCCAACGAAGACGGTGGTTTGAGATTGTGAAGCGAGAAGGGACGCCTTCTTGTGTACCTGCAATTTTCCACTTTCCGTATGGCAAGAGGCTAAGCCAAGAACCTCGATTTTCTGATGTCTTGTTGTTTGTCTTTGCACTGCAGATGTGAGCGAACGACGTCATTCTGTCGATCGATCGTCCGGTGGTTCCTTCAGAATTGATGGCCTCGCTGAACTTGACGGACCTCCACTTCCTTGTAGGTTTCCTTACCTGTACTCTTAGGAATTGGAACCCTAGGCCGGCGTGTGGCACCGCTTTCAGTTCAGTACACCCTATCCTAAGTGTGTTTGGCCTTGTGCCAACCCGGGATGAGCCCGCAGAGTGCCTCCCGTGGACCCGTTGAACGGGGGTACATCGTTATCTCCCCTGCCCGGAGATGTAAATGCCCAGAGCGGGCGAAGGTGGCCTAGGCCGAGAGAACTCCGATTTTGTCTCATTTTAGGAATTCTAAGCTGGCTTATGCCTTTACGTGACCGCAGCGGTCGAAGCAGCCAGCCATTTCGGCAAGGCACAAGGTGACCATAGCGGTCGAAGCCTTAGTCTTTCAGTTGATCCACTCCCTCCTCTCGCCATGTTCCCTTCTCCGGCTGGTCTCAACCCCGTGGAGGGCATCACGATGAGGGCCCAGACTATTCTCCATCGAGAAATTCTTCACCTACATGGCCTGCTGATCCTCGCTATTTCACTCCTTCGTACTCGCTTTGCTATCCTTTCCCCTCCTTCATGGACTACATTACCTCACCACACCTTCAGGTGCAACTTCGAGGACTTGATTCGGCGATCCGCCAGGCGACTCAGGCGGTTCATACTGGCGTGCGCTACATTCAGGAACTCCTCACTACCTTTGGCATGATGCACGCCTTGACCTGCGACACTGCTCAACTGGATGCCGAACTACGTGGACGCTCGGTTTTTCCTGACCCTCGCCTTCCTTCCGTCCCTCCTCCCCCTTTGGGCTCTCCTTCGACTCGACGTATGACATCTACCAGTTCCACTCCGGCTGAACCAACGATCCCTCCACTGAGGAATCCTACAGTTCGTTCTCCACCTGGCATTGTGGTTACCACTTCGAACCGGACCAGCGCTACTCGTTCTCGCTCTCGGTCTCACCCTCGTACGTACCCGAGGAATCTCTAAGCTGCACCCTCGTTCATTGTGCCACTCACGAGAAAATGTCCACCCACTCTTCCTTTTGTAGTGCCATTTTGTTAATTTTAATTTTGATTTGCGACACAATCTCTTGACTTATCACCTGTTACTTTCGCGCCTTTCGGCTTTCAGCCTTCCCCATGCCCTACGCCCTTCCGGTCCCGCACGTTTCGTTTCGTCTCGCCGCCATGTCTGCACCGTCTACGACGACACCGGTTCCCCCTCCAGGCTTGGCACCAATCACCGGCTTACCTCCTGCCGCTCATGCAGTACTACATCGTGAACTCCTTCATATACATTCTTCTTTACACTTGATTCTCCTGATCCTACGTGGACCTTGGGATACCGTCACTCCATCCATTGTGGACACGATCACTAGTCCTCGTCTTCGTACCACTCTTCGTGCCCTTGAGACCAGCATTGAACAGATTCGACGATCTACCTGCACTACACTGGTATACACGGATGAACTATGCTCCGCTTTGGCACTTCCACATCCGACTGGCCGCTTGGTTTCTTCTCCCAACTCCTTTTCTTCATCTATGGCCTTCCCTCGCTTTCTCATCTCTCCTCCTTCTCCTCCCTCGACGACTACAACGACGACTACCACTGACCCATCTCCTCCTCAGATTACTCACACTCCCCCTCCTCCTTCGAATCCTGCTTTGACCTTGATGCGAATGCCACGTTCTCGCTCACCTTCTCGTTCACGATCCCCTACGAGACGATTCCGATTTTAGATAGCTTTCTCATCTTGCCCGACCACTTTGGTTTTCGGAAGCACAGAAAAGAATTCCTTTTTCTCCTGACGTTAACTTGATCACCATTTTTGGAACTCTTCGACATTGATACTCCATTATTCTGTCCCTATTCTTGGGCTCACCAGCGACCGCTCGTTTTGCCCCCTCGTTTTTCGCCGCCTTTTCTGCCATGGCTTCGACGCCCACACCACCTTGCGGTCTAGCTCCGATTCCAGGCCTTCCACCTCGTGCTCAAGCAATGCTACATCGTGAACTTCTACTTGTACATGTTCTCTTGGCCCAGATCCATTCACTGCTGCATATCCCGCTCAGCATTCGTACCCTTCCATTTATGTATCGGGTGACACACCCACAACTTCGAGCTCAACTTGAAGGATTGGACAATACGCTCCTTCTTGCCCTTCGCCTCAACCACACTGCCGTGCACTACACCCACAAGCTCCTCACTGCCTTGGGCCTCCTTCATATTATTCAACAGAGTCCGGAACAACTTGAAGACGAACTCGAAGGTCGCACAGACTTTGGCGATCGCGCATCCCTCTCTACACTTCCTGCTCGACCCCACTCTACTACGACTTCATCGAGGACTACCAGGACCCATAACACTGCTGACCGGATGCCTTCCTCTTCTGACCCTCCGCCCTCTCGCCTTGTACCTCGGCCTCGTCTTCACATGCGCTCGAGATCTCGCTCTCGACCTCGTTCGACCAGGTCCTATAACTTCTTTGTTTCACCCTGTACTTTGCCAGTCGCAGCAAAAGGGACAAGCTACTCTTGCCTTTATTTTGCTGACACCTTCTTTTCACGTTTGATTTGTACCTTATCATTCCCTTTCCTTTACATGTCCTTTTTGGGCTCCAGACTTTGAGACATGAATATCCACGAGATGATTATCTATCCTTCACATCTCACTCACAATCTTCCTTTCCTTGTTGTTTACCCTCTTGGAGAGTAACGTTTTCGGGCGACTACCTGCCTCATGGCGAGCTCTGGTTCTTCTCCGGAATCCAATCGCCCTCATCGACGACGGGATCTTGGTCGCACCTCTCGTTCACGGGATACGAGGCATCACACGCACATCGAAGAAGTCGACTATGATGCTGATGAAAACACTCCCCTACCATCCATCAACCCACCACCTGGCACTGAAATTGCACGTGGCGTCCCAGATCCACCACAACCTTCCGACACTGTCACCGGCGACAATTCTCACCAGACTACCACCTCACCTCGAGCCGTTTCCGGCCCACCTTCGACACCACGTCCTCACCATTCCCAGTTTCCCTTCCCTCGACCACATTCAACCCCCGCCTTTCCACCCAGCCCACCAACACATCTTACTGGTCCACTTTTTCCACCACCACGCGTTCAAGCGCCTCGTCCCCGACCTCCACTTTCTCACCCTCGTGCTACGGGTCCACCGCCTCACAACCCGTATGCACCCCGTCCGTGCCCCAGGCAACCACTTTCTTCCCGTGACCATCGCACTTCGCGGACAACACGCTCCCCTCTTACACGGCAATTCGATCGGCGACGTTCCCATCCCAGGAGCCGCTCTGCCCACTCTCGCCGACCACGTGAACATCGACGCCGATCACCTGTGACGTCGCGCTCCCGACGGGACAACCACCACAGTCGCCGATCACAGTCTCGACATCGCCGTTCCCGAACACACAATCAGGAGACTCGGGAACTGCACACTCCACAGGAGCGTCATCGCTCCTCCAATCTCCCCCCAACACGTTCACGCTCGTGTCATTCCAGCACCCATCGTGGCAGACTACGGACAGCCCACCACACTTCTCTTTCGGCACCTCGAGCCACTTCACACTTGCACGTTACTTTGTCAGTTTGGCCTTGGTTGAACTGCAGGCTTTTCTTCCAAAAATTCCAAGCACCTCGTGGTTTGCTCAGATTCCACAATATGAATAAGTCCAAACCCTACAGGGACCGGGATTTGAACCAAGAGTTTGGTTCCTGAAGTATATCCTCGGTGAGTCCCACTTATGTGCTCGATCGTTGTCCTCCTTTTTCCCCAAACAGTTTACTGTTGGGGTTCTATCTTAGAAAGAAAAGAGCTGGACAACACACTCACTGGCCGCGCCCCTGAGCTCTGTGGCTGAGCTCTGTGGCTGGGCTCTGTGGCTGGGCCACACAGCACACCCATTTCGCCTCCAGCCTCAGTTCACCCTCCTTCTGATCGGGACTCTTCGGGGGCGTCCCCTTCTGGTACTACTACCTGGACCCGGTGATCGACCACATGCGCAACCTACCCCTCCAGGCTCCACCTCCCTCTCACGACCCACCACTCCACCTCAAGCATTTCAACCACCTCCTCCTGTTCCACCGCTCAGCACCCTCCCCTCCACAGAGGTGGAGGAACTTCGACAACTCCGCCTTCAATTTCACTCCCTCTCACGACCCACCACTCCACCTCAAGCATTTCAACCACCTCCTCCTGTTCCACCGCTCAGCACCCTCCCCCCCGCAGAGGCGGAGGAACTTCGACAACTCCGCCTTCAATAACAACAACAACAACAACAACAGGCTGCTCATCACCTTCAACAACAGGCTCTCCTCCATTCATCGTTCAATCCTTTCTTCTCTCCCTTCCAACTTTACTTTCCACAACCCGCACCATCCCCCTTGCCCATCACCACAGCCTCACCTTCCACCAACACACCATCGGGCCCTCCACCAGCCTCGGCCCCTCCATCGGCACCAGAACCAACGCCAGTTGAACCGGAACCCGTTGACCTCTCCATTTCCCTCTTCACATCTCAGGCCTCCACCCAAGCCCCGGCTTCCACTTTGGCGACATCGACCAATCGATCTCCTGATCGTTCACTTCGACCTGAAACCCCTCCACGAATGGCTCTCCAATGGGTTCGGCACAGACCTGACTTCACCTCCTTGGAAC